GGGAAGCTACACAGCCCTGTCTGACACCTTTATGGATGTCAAACCAGTCCGAGTAGACCCCGTTGATCCTAACACAAGCACTAGAGTCCCTATAAAGGGACTCCAATGCCCGTATCAAGCCAGCGCTCAACCCAAATGAGTTCAGTGTTTGCCATAGCACATCCCTATTCACTCTGTCATAGGCCTTTTCCAAGTCCATGAACGCACAAAAAACCTTTTGGTTTTTGGCCAAAAACTTCTCCGCGATCATGTGCATGGAAAAGACTTGATCTGTACATCCCATTCCCTTTCTAAATCCTGCTTGCACATCCCAAATTTTTCCATCAGTTTCTTTCATGACCCTTTCAATCAGTACCTTAGCATACAGTTTTCCCAGAATGCTAAGAAGGCTGATGCCACGGTAGTTTTTACAGTCCTGCTGCGACCCTTTTCCCTTATATACTGGGACTATCACGGCTTTGCACCAGTCTACCGGTACCCGCTTCAGTTCCCAGCATAAATTAAACAAGGTGTGCAGCAGGCCTGCCACCACTTCCTCTCCAGCCCTTAGCATTTCGAGTGAAACTCTATCATATCCGGCAGCCTTACCTGCTTTCATGCTTTTCATTGCTTTCATTATTTCACCTGCACTAATCTCGCTACCTCTTTCCTCTTCCTTCGGAATTTCTACTTCACTTAGTACACACGTTGTCTCCTCACTCATAAACACGCTTTCAAAATATTCCTTCCATCTCTTTAAACTCAAAACTTCATCATTCAGAATATAGCCATTCTCGTCTCTTATAGCATTCATCATAGGCTGTTTTGAATGTCCCCTGGCAGTTCTTACAAGTTTCCAGAACATTTTAATATTTGCCTGGAAATTATCCGATATTCTTCTATCATTCTTATCCGTTCTTTCTTGCTTTTTTCTTTCAACTACTTCTTTTACTCTCTTATTAAGATGTCTAAAGACTGCCTTTTTTCTTTCAATATCATCATTCGTACCGCTAGAATTACCAGCCTTTGTTGCTAGTAAATCTAGCCACGCTCTCTTTTTTGATTCAACTTACATACGTACCTCATCATCTCACCATAACGTATTATTTTTCCTTTCATTCTTTCTCTTACTAACACCACATACTTCGGTAGCTGCATCCACTAAACCTTTCTTTACATTTTGCCATACATTCTCCAAGTCTAACTCCTTCATACATAATTCATCCAAACCACTTATATTTTCTTTCAGTCTACATTTGAACTTCTTTTTTCTCACCTTCATCTTGTAACCTTTCTGTTCTAATACGCTGTAACGCAGTGGTAGACACAGATGACCGATGGCGCCAACGCCTGAATAGACCATTAATTCGGCATAGAACCAAATAATGATCCGTTCCTACGTTAGAACCCCGGTAAACCCTTGTATCTACAACTGCGCCCCTCAATCTTTCATCCACAATTATTAAATCTATCATGCTTATATCGTCACCTCTTTCCCAAGTATACATGTGAATCCTCTTGTGGCGAAAGCAAGTGTTCGTCACAAAAAGATTCTTTTCCATACATACGGTGAGGAGACTTTCACCATTCTCATTTATACTTTCATCACCAAACGTTCCCAATATCCTTTCATAACCAAGCCTCCTCACCCCAACCCTTCCATTAAAATCTCCTAGCATAATAATATTTTCATTTCCCTTACACTCCATTAACACCATCCTTACCATTTCCCAAAACTGCTCTCGGATATAAGTGGGCTTAGACATGTCTGGGGCGTAGACCCCTAACACAAACAACTTCTTTAAGCCCACTTTCATTCGTATCCACAGCAGTCTTGGGCTTACACATTCATACTCTTTCACACATTGGCCCATTCTTTCTGAAAGGATGATACCTACTCCCTGGCATGCCCGCTCGATCTCGTCTACACCAGACCAGTATGCGGTATACATGCCATGTGTAGTGACATCCTTTCCCTTCCTTTCGTCTCATTTACACATAACACATCTATTCCTCTATCATTCATCATATCGCATACTTCATCCATTTTATCATTCATTGCCCCACATACATTCAACGTAGCCAGACGGACCTCTGCAATCCACTTTTTCGCCTCTCCGGGAGACAGAACGTGACGGGTGGCGAACCTCGTCGCCGGTTTTCCTCCCGGAGATTCTTCGCACCCCTGCCCCATTAAAGGGGCGCCGGGAACTCGGGGCCATTTCTATTATATTGTTCCTCATGGTGCGGATAAAGGGTGGTATATTTTACGCCTCTACCAGGGCGTGGAGCCGAGTCTGTGCTATCGGCTTGTCGCTCATTTAGCACCACCCGGGGGACACGTGTAGGGTGGGCCTAGGAATAGGTGGTCAGAGCCTACGGACGCGAGCGACTTATCCCCCTACATTATATATTATATACGATATCCAGTTTTTACTGAATATCGTATATAATATATAATGTATAATATATAATATTTCACCTTTGATGATTACAAAAAGTAGTCCACTATTTTATTGCATTATATAACATATTATACGTGGTATTATTCCTGTAACAGAAAATAAAAACATAGTTAACAGTCACTATGTATAAATAATTTGATAGTAAATAAATCATGCGTATTTTATATATTTTTTAATGAAATAAAGGCGGTAAGTACGTAGTAATTTTTACGATACTGCGTAAATCCAGCTTTTATACAAGCAAATGCCATGACCTTTGCTGACCTAAATGCCTACAATGCTCACTAGGCATTGTAAATGAATATATTATTTATTTTTCTGCGTTCATAGGTTCTTACATCGGGCAATGTTTCGTGACGTCGTAACTTTGGATGTCATTTTAGCTAACTGTTACGTGCCAGCAGGCAATCTTTATAATTTATACAAAAACACATACTTTTAGACTGATTGTGCTATGATTCTCAGCGTAACTTAAACAAAAATCAGGAGATAGCTTAATGATGTCCACGCAAACACTGGAAAACTTTATTCATGACCATTGGCTTTACTTGGGTAGATATCATACCTCTGTACATCTATTGTTGACCTAGCTGTGCCTTTCCAAGATAAGATTAAAATAGAGCTGAGTTAGCTCAGGAACTACGTGCACACTGTAAATTTATCACAGCATTGGGTCAACCCGGGCTTAATCTCGATATAAATGATATTATTAATTGCTATTATAAGTGCTGATTTTTGTGCTTACCGGTGAAGAAAACATTGTGAGAAAACCTGCATGTCTGAGAAATATTTCGTGGATATGTAAAGTCCGTCGTCAACATGCACCGTGCGGTGTGGAATGATCACTCCATAACAATCTGAAAAATGATAGCCGGCCTGTGCCAAAGTTCAGTAAGTCCAGTTTTACTGCAACCAGTGTGACCTATTGTGATACTGCTAATAGATTATAGTTAAGCCTTCAATAAATAGAACATGTTACAAAACTGTGAGCATTTTCACTTCTTCTAATTTAAGCAAGTAGTTTTCCAAATGAGTGTTACTTTTTTTTTCGGGTATTAAAGGTCTGCAAACAGTAAAGACTTTCTTCAGTTAAGGACCAGAATATAGCCATGTGATTTTTGAAACAGCTATGACCAGTCAGGGCACTTGTTACCTAATAACCTTCATTTTTTAAATTTTGTTAACTATCATGTTGTAAATAATTAATATTATAGGTATTCGTTTTAAACCAACTTTTATAAAAAAATATAATAGGAATAGGGTATAAGAAACTTTCTTCATGGAATCATCATCGGTTTTGGCACATAAGAAATAATTAAAAATTTCAAAATTCAAAGAAAAAACTAAAAACCGATTTTACTTTCTTTACTTTCATAAGTGTTTTGTTTCATATCGCCATTTACTTGTTTGGTTTTCATGACCTTCAGTCACGCAAATGCATTAAAAGCGACGCAGTTTCGCGGCCAAATACAACAAAATCGGGAGCGGTATGCAAATATCTATAAATTTCCCGTCGTGAAATGATCAGATACAACGAGTAATAAACTGGTTTTGCAAAGATATAAGTCTAATATTAAATTAAATTAAAGGGGTTTTTACGGATATTCATACGAGTGCTGACGACATTTATTTTATAAATTTAACAAAGAAACTGTCAAGAGTTGAGGTAAATGCTTAAATTATGCATATGAGTCATAATATCTGCTACTTTATTTTGTATAATATAATAAGTGCATTCATTTATTTATTACAGATCTTCACAAGTCCACTGCTGAACACAGGCCTGCCCAAGGAATGCCACAAAGCACGGTCTTGAGCCACCTGCACTCATAGACTTCCCGCATGTATTACCAGATAGTCACTCTACCTAGTGGGGAGACGTTCTCCACTTCAGCTACCGGTACGAGGCTGCAACTCGAACATCTTTCTTGTTTTAAATCAATTACTACAGTTAAAACAAAATCTTAATGTTACCTTCTTCTTTATTCTTCATTACTCCATACACATCGGAGGATTTACCGCTTGATAGAGTGATTGACAATTGCAGCACCAGAAGTTTCGTAACTATGAAGCTGATTACCACTGCTTGTCTAAATATGTAATTCCTTACATAAGTGAAATGACTATACCGTCATTTATAGGAAGTTATACCTACGGTCTTTTTGGAATTTCACACAGTTGTCTCTTTCGGCACCCACGGGATGAAATAAATAATTCTATCGTGCCGCTAACACCCGGCCTAACAAAATAATAGAAATTTGCTTTCAGAGTAAATTACAAATACTTTTAACAAATTTTCTTTTAAAAATTAGTGGAAGAAATCTATATATACCCTATAATATCATCCCGTGTATCGTAAGATCTAAAACTATGCTAACTACCCCCTTCCCCTATTAGGTAATAAATAGGGCAGGCCTATGTTCAGCTGTGGACTTTAACAGCCTGTAACGTTAATATGCAAAAAGAAACAAAATAGTACTAAATCTATTATACCAAAGGGTTAACAAGAATTTTCTTTTTCACAGGTTCTAAAGAATTATAATGGAGACTGACAAAATGTCGACGGCATCATCTGTAGGCGCCGAGCGGCGGCCCTTGCTTCAAGCCCTGGTAATCGAAAGGCGCATCCTCTTCGCCTGTACAGCCCTCGTCGGTCTTAGCACATTTATATGGATCACAGCTGTTTGTACAGAAAAATGGGTGCATATCGAAGGACGAACTGGTAATAATAACCAATTTACTTTTCTTAGTTAATAGCAGTTATAGTAATATTTGTGAGGGACATATTCTCAGACAGTCCTTAAGACTGCATTTATTTCTTGTCATGTGATGGTGTGTAAAACAATCCATAGCGATCATGGGAATGGGAAATGCAAGAAAGACCTCATGATATCTTATTGAGAGCAGTATATAATACCGTATATGACAGCTATAGCAGGATCAAAGAAGCGATAGTTTTGTTACTGCGATGCGCATGGTGATTATAGCAAATTCTACTTTATATAAGATAGGAGAGGCTCATGACTGTGTTTAGTGGCATTCCTTTTGGAATACCTATGTACAATAAATGCTTACAACTTGTACAAGGTAGTAGTGATAAAGATGTTGAAAGAAGGCTATATCAAGAAGACATCGACAAAGTGGTTAAGAAACCCACTGATAAAAAGCTTGCTTCAGACAGTCTGGGGTGTATATAACAAACTCATAACTGCTTTTGCTTTTAAAATATATATTATTACCATATATATTAAATAGAGCATAAATTTGAAAAGCAGTTGCTCATTAAAGTGTAAAAGAATATACTAACGCTACAAAGCCGCGGGGTGGAGTCGTATGAGAATTCATTTGACCGTAACTTCTACTAACTATGCAGTACAGATGTAAGAATATCCGCTACTCAATATCGTCCCATAATTATACAGTTCGTATACACGTATAAGGTAACTCTCTGTAGGTTATGTTAGCTGTTCACGGAGTAATGTCATCTCGAATAAACTACAACTCTGAATTTACGAATGTTATTATATATTAAAAGTTAACTATTCAGGGCACAACTTTTTGTAAACATTTTATGATGTACCGTGTTTTTTTTATAGAATAAGGGTGACAAACGAGCACACAGTCCAACTGATGGTAAGTGGATGCTGTGGCCCATAGACATCTACATTTATCCTCGATTAAGAATCAAAACGCAGATACGTTGTCATCCCTGAGGACTAAGATGGAATGCCTCGATTCCAGTAAAACGGGCTTCCGGTTCTCTACACTCACCATACGCTACACAGCAGCTTCAAGCTGCTATTTTACGTTGGTATTGTGTGAGAGCGTGGTCCTTCCCCGGTCGAGCCGATCCATTCATCTACAACTATAATATGGCTGCAACGTGACTCTACCACGTGTAAAGTATGTATAAACAAATATAAATTGTGCATTGGGAGATTATTATTCAGACACTACACGAAGTTTTTGATCAAATCCGTGTTTGGGAAAACAGTGGACAGAATCAAACACGTATACCCGGGAGTATGTTATTAATTACGAACGTGTTGCAGCGTTGGGGTCGATGTCCGTCGATCTATTTTTGTTTAGACCGTACGCAGATCGAGTATGTGATTGCTTATAGATATACCGATACTAATTATTTTATATACGGCATTTCCACAGTAATTTGGTTCCTTTTTTTAGTTTATCTCACCTGAACAGCTTGTATTTATAGACTTCCGGAACTACCACTACTTTTAAGAAACGCGAACTTACACATAGATGTTTAATAAGTTTACTATAGCATTTAGTACAAATTAAGCGCTGATTTATTATTTAAAAACTTTTCTTTTCTGTAGATAACGTTATAATTTAAAATACATAGCAGGCTTTGCATAACCAGCATTAAATTAGTTAAAAAACAGGATATAAATGATTTAAATTATGTAACACAAACTAAATTTTGAGTAAATGCTCTATGTGTTGTTGATACATATGTTTAGTAATGAACTTTAATGGGCTATAATAGATGGAAGCGTAACACCTCCACTCCCTTCGGTTCCTCGCCGTTACTATATTGACAATATTTTTCGGTACGGTACCTGGTTAATACATGAAATCTTTGGAGCTTGCAAAACCAATTAACCGCACTCAATAAGCAGATGCGGCCAAGCAAAATACAGACTAGCGAGACAAAGACGGGCGAGACTCTTCTGCGTTGCACATCTCTACTGCAACATTCCTTTCAGTAGGCAATTAAATTACTTTTGCCAGGATTAATAAGTGCAAACCTAGCAATTATTACATACATACATGTAAATATTTGAAAAAGAATCACGATCTTTCCCGGGTAATCCGGCAAGAACACTAGTTTTTACACAAAAAGTTTTACATATCATAACAATCCGACATACTCCAAAAGAAGTTTCGCTCGAAGAAATCCCTTTCATTCCACTTAATATATTTTTTCGATGCGAGATCATTTGTGTGATCTTAACTAAATATTCAATCTTTCATTAACGATTCGATTAACGATAAACTTCTAATGAAAATTACATTCATTAAACGTAACTTATTAGATTTACATTTAGATTGAAAATCTTATTCCAAATAAAATTAACATAATTATCAGCAAAAACAAATTTACTATATTTTTTAAACATTTTATTAAATTTAGAAATTAAAGTTAAAGCATATTACGTCCCACGCCTGGGCACAGGCTTTCCACTTCAGAAAGTGTTTGTGAGCGAGGAAGTGTGTGTTGCGCTGCTCTAATGCGTGTTTAATTATTTCTCAGACATGCAGATTTCCTCACTAAGTTTTTCTTCACCACCGAGCACGTGGTAAATCATCACTTAAAATTGCAATTAACAATTTGATTGGTGCCGCAAGGGATCGAACCCGTGTTGCTCTGATACTTCAGTACATAACCATTAAATATAAAATACAATGCAGACTTTGCATAACCAGCACTAAGTAAGGTAAAAGATAGGATATAAGTGAATTAAATTATGTAACACAAACTAAGTAAATTTTAAGTAAATGTTAAAATGTGTTCAGTAATGGACATTCGTGGACTGTAATAGAATGAATGAATATTCTCTACCTTCTCACCGGTTTGTCACCGTCGCTATATGTACAATATTTTCGGTGGGGTAGCTAACCACTACTTTCATAAATACTGAAAACTTTGTAAGCTAAGCTACCCAAACCAATAAGCCACACGTACTAAGCCGGCGCGGCCAAGCAAAATTGAGACTTACGCGAGACTAAGACTGATGATATCGTTTTGTGTTGTTCCCTACTGCAACAATCCTTGCACAAGGCAATTAAATTACTTTTGACAGAAATAATAAGTGCTAATATAGCAGTAATTATATACATATATGCAACAACTTAAAAAAAATTGAATATGTGTGTAGTAACACTGCAAGAACCGTGGTTACATAAAAATCTTTCCATATCACAACATGCCCTTATACTCCACAAGTATTTTCGATTTATCGAATCTCTTTTATTCCACTTAATATATTTTCTCAATGCGATTTCGCTTAAGTGATCTTAATTTATTATTCAGTCGCTTATTATCGATTCGATCACCGATACATTTCTAATGCAAATTGCATTATTTAAACGTATCTTAAAATAATTGGCTTAAATAATTAATGTATTTATCAGCATTTTTTTACTGCTATAATAAAAATACATGGTGAAAATATAGCCACAACTGTACTCGTAATAGTCCTAATATATAGTAACAATACTGGCTAACTCACAGCGAGTTTCGGCATGATTTTTGGTCTGGCCTGTGTCACTCAAACTATCGATGTATATATATATATATATATATATATATATATATATATATATATATATATATATATATATATATATATATGAACACAAATAAATTTATAAGATTATAAATAAACTTACAACAAAGGTAACCAAATAATAATTGACCATTCTAACTGTTGTGGGTAGTCTTGAAATGTTGTATGTTAAGAACAGTCTTTATTATTAAAAACAGTTGTCATCTGAACTCCGTTGTTTCATTGTAACAACATGGTGGCAGCGGTTAAAATACTTAAATAATTTTGCATTTTCCGTTTAAATGACGTTAATTTAAATTATTACTGTTAACGTAAATTAAGTGTAAGAGATAGAGCATGCAAGACCACCTACCGAATTGAGTTTAGATGGCAGCCCCGTCGGCCGGGCTGACGCATGGAAAAGGTGGAAGGCGCAATTCAATCTTTTTCTTAAAGCATCGGGGGTGCACAAAGAAGAAGGAAGCATACAGGCGAGTTTGCTTATTAATCTGATTGGATCAGATGGATTTGATGTTTACGAGACTTTTACGTTCGATTCAGAAGAGCAGCGTGAGGGCGTCTAAATATTGATGAAAAAATTTGATGAGTATTTCGGTGTTAAATCTAATACAACATTACTGAGATATAATTTCTTCGGGAGGTATCAAGAATCTGGAGAATCCATTGATCAATATGTAACAGCGTTAAAGTTACTCAGTAAAAATTGTGAATTTAAAAATTTTGAGCAATAGTTAATCGCGACCGTATTGTGTGCGGCATAAGGAGCATAATTGTAAGGGACCGGTTGCTACGGACAGATGAATTGACTCTGGAGAAAGCAATTAAAATATGTCAAGCAGATGAAATGCCAATAGACAGCAAGCGTGTGATGGAAGCAAGTAGCTTCAGCAGTACGGCAAGCTGCGGGCCCGTGCGCGTTGAGGCGCTGTCGGTGCGCGGCGGCGGGCAACGAGGCCGCGGGCGCGGCGTCGGTCGTGGCGGCTGGCGAGGCGAGCGAGGTGCGCGCGACGAGACCTCGGCGTCACCTTTTCCACGTTGTGGTGCTCAGTGTACTGATGTAGGTTCATGTCCAGCTATTTCGGTGAAATGCTATGTGTGCGGTAACTACGGCCATTACGCTAGGATGTGCAAATGTAAAAATAGTCTTAAAAGAATGTATGAATTAGAAGTGAATACAGAAAAATCTGATAATGATGACTGTGAGTCGTTTTATGTATCTGTGTTAATGGATACAACACAAAACAAAATCGGCGGCCATGACTGATATGAGGTATTAAGAGGTGAGTGTGGCTTTGAACGTTTTAAGCTCGATACCGGTGCCGACATTAATGTCTTATGTTATAAGAGATTTTTGACGCTGGGATTTAACACGGAAATTATATGTAACAATAATAAAATGAAATTACAA